TAAAATTAGGTCATAAGGCCGAAATATTGCCATATCGGCTGATACTGATAATCTGCTAAAAGGCTCTCTTAATTTCAGAAGGCTTGTCATGCTATAGTTCTCTACCAAGCCAAGCCTTATATGTAAGACATAGTCATCTTCAAGAATATTAACCTATCACTTCAGAGAACATCATGTACTTCATGACTGCATTTGCTGTGTATGATTACACAATGTTCAATGTTGATCAGAATTCGTTCAGTGGAAAATAGTTGAATTGCTGTGATCTTTTTCTGATGAGTTTTGCAAAGGAGCAACTGAAGCTATTAAAATACACCCAGAAGTATTTTCCTTCACCTTTTGATTTTGATTTATGTATTTAAGTTAGTTTAATATATTTTAAAGTCATATAATTATTAGATAACAATTTACAACCATTGGGAAAAATAAACTAATTTGCTATTGTAGTCTGCTTATTGACACCATAGTAGTTATACCATCTGTTTGATGTTTGAAAATTTTCAAAGGTTTTAAATTCATTCTATTGGAATCTCCACCGCTTGGCCCCTCTGTTAGTTTATATGATAAAATAAATTTATGACAAATCTTTTCTTTTTTTAATATTTAGTTTTTTAAATACCATAATATAAGTAAATTATTGCCATGAAAAATGGTATTTCCTTTATTTATCATTTTTCCTGTCTTCTATAAAGCCATAGAGAATATAGTTTCTCGTAAAATTCCTAATATTATATTTCAAAAGGGTATATTAATTGTCAATCTAAGTTTATTAAGTGACTTATTTTTCATTGTCTGGTTTGAAATGCTAGAGCTATTCCCAATGTATGATTTTTTCATGAGACTGGTATTAAATTCATGATATGAAAATGTACAAATAAAAGACTATCAGTAATTTTCTTAAATAATTAAATTCAATTGATTTGTTTTTCTTCCATTAGATTTTCTCTCTTTTTTTATATTGTGCTTTATTATCATTTATTATTGTTTATAATAAATTAATTCAATAATAGTGAATAGTGATTAGAAAAGAACCTATTGATGTTTAGAAATATAACAGTGAATAAGTGTGTAGCAGCACATATAAAAAATGTACGAAACCTCCTCCGATGCAGGCAAAGCTATTGTTTTGGGGGCAGCAGAATTTATTGAAAAAAAAAAAATTAATCCCTAAATAGAAAAAGGTTTAAATAGAAAAGGCTAAATAGAAAAGGAAAACCTCTGCAAGAGGTTCGCTGGCCAGGGGAGGGCTCGATGAGGGAAGGAAAGTACACTATTTGGTACAGAGGAAGCAGGAATCATTGTTTAGGTATCGGGTTTCTAATTAGGAGTAGATTACTATCCGCATTGAGGGACGTACAATTCTTTAGTGATAGAATTTCGGTAGCTTTATTTCAGGGACGTTGGTTTAAAATCGCATTAATAAACATACATTGTCCGACCTAAGACAGTGACGATGAAGTCAAAAGTGAATTTTACGATAAACTCGAATGGGTTTATGATAAACTACCGCGAAACTACATGAAAATAATTGTAGGTGACGCGAATGCAAAGCAAAGGTAGGAAAGGAAGAAGTTTATATTACGACGATTGGTAAAGAAAGTTTGCACGAATATAGTAATGATAATGGGATCCGTCTGATAAACTTTGCCATCTCGAAAGACCTGATAATTAAAAGTACGACGCGTACAATTTGGGGTACAATTATGTTTAAAAGTACGATTAAACATAAGGATATTCATAAATATACTTGGACATCACCGGATTCGCAAACACGAAATCGAATCGATCATGTCTTGATACAACACAGCTGGCAAAGCAGTATAATTAATGTACGGTCTTATCGCGGAGCAGAATGTGGGTCTGATCATGAATTAGTAATCGCGAAACTTCAACAAAAACTTAATATAAAAAAGAGAAAAGAAAACCGTTTCGATTTTGAGAATTTTAATTTGGAAAAATTAAAAAATCCATCAATTAGAAACCAATTCGAGCTAGATGTTAAGAATAGGTTTGAAGCTTTAGAGCTTCCTGACTAGGACCACGAGGATATTGACAAGTTATGGATAGAGATCAGGGATAATATTAAAGCGGTCGGTAACTCGTGTCTAGGAAAAAAGGAAAATAAGAATAACAAACCGTGGTTTGATGAAGATTGCTTAAAAATGTGCGAAAAAAGAAAAGCCGCTAAATTAAAAGCTCTAAATAATCCTAGCGAAGACAATATGGAATACTTCCGAACCTCAAAGAACGAAACGACAAAATTGCTCAAAAATAAAAGAAGGGAGTATCTTAAAAATAAAATAATTGAAATAGAAACTAATAGAATCGATAATAACGTAAGAGACATGTACAAAGGTATAAATAGATCACGTAAATGTGTAGGGCCCGTAATGTCTGGAATTAGGGATGATAACAATATTCTGGCCGATCCGGTTGACATCTTGAATAAGTTTAAGGACCACTTTGACAATATTTTAAATATGGGAAATTATGATCTGTGTCCTCCTTCTGAGTACCAGAGTGCTGAACCGTTAATAGAAGGACCAACTAAAGAGGAAGTTGAAGTAGCTATCGGAAAATTAAAATCTTATAAAACAGCGGGAACCGATAATATTCCTACTGAACTAATTAAGGCATGCGGGGAAGCTGGAGTTTCAAAAATACATCGGTTGGTTAAAATGATCTGGGTGAACGAGAAATTACCTGAAGAATGGAAAGAATCTATTCTTATTCCGATTCACAAAAAGGGTCCGAGGACGGATTGTAATAACTATCGAGGAATTTCACTCCTTCCGGTATGTTATAAAATATTCACTTTAATCTTAACCAGTCGAATCACGGAATACGCCGAGGAAATTATTGGAGACTACCAATGCGGATTTAGACGGAATCGTTCGACTATTGATCAAATATTTTCTTTACGGCAAATATTAGAGAAAAAATTGGAGTATAACGGTATTGTTCACCAGCTGTATATAGATTTTAAAAAGGCTTACGATTCTATTGACTGCCAGAAACTGTATAATATTCTAATCGAGCAGGGGATTCCAAAAAAACTAGTAAATCTAGTCAGGATGTGCTTGACGGAGACACTCAATAAAGTTAGAATCGGTAATAATTTGTCCGAAAAATTTGAGGTTCGTTCGGGTTTAAAACAGGGGGATTCTCTTTCGCCTGTCCTGTTCAATTTGGCATTAGAACATGCCATTAGGGAGGTAATGCGTACCGAGAAAGGGTTGGATCTGGGCGGGACAACATCCGTGCTGGGCTATGCTGATGATCTGGTACTGTTAAGCGAAGACGTTGAAACTATAAAACTAAATACGACAACGTTAATGAAAGCTGGTAAAGAACTAGGACTCGAAATAAACGTGGATAAAACAAAATATATGATTAGCGGCAAAAATGGCGATACTACTGGTGATATCGATATAGATGGTAATATTTTTGAACAGGTAGAGAACTTTAGGTATCTGGGTTCTACGATAACTAGAAAAAACGAAATTGAAGAAGAGATTAAGGTTAGACTGAAGGCGGGAAATGCTTGTTATTTTTCTGTGACAAAACTACTTAGTTCGCGCCTCTTGTCCCGGAACTTAAAAATTAGAATCTATAAAACAATTATCTTGCCTACAGTTCTTTATGGACTTGGCTGCTTACATTAAGGGATGAGCAGCGTCTTAAGGTTTTTGAAAATAAAGTATTGCGTAGAATATTCGGACCGAAGAAGGATGAGTTAACCGGAGAGTTCAGACCGTTACACAACGCCGAATTGCGTGAGCTGTATCCGGGTAATATAATTGAGGTAATTTCATCGCGGCGAATCAAATGGGCTTGTATAGTTGTTGGGCTTAGTAACAAGAGAATTCCTAAAAGGTTAATATTTGCGGTGCCGAATGGTAAGCATCCGAGGGGTAGACCGAAGCGAAGTTGGGAAGATTGCATTAAAGCCGATCTGAAGGGACTTGGTTTGGATGGCGAACGGTGGAGGGAGGTGTGTAAAATAAGCGATTGGTGGTGTCGGCATCGAACCTTCGGGTTCGCTAAGCCTTTTATTATTATTATTATTATTATTATAAATAGAAAAATAATCTGGGAAATGGTAACATATAGCAAGCGTCTTTCTGAAGTCAAAAGAGAACTGTGGAAACAAAAGAGGCCCACCACTTGAGTACCTACAACTTCAACCCATAATACATTTGAATAAGACTCTGCCCCATAGTTAATTAATGATAATCCACCACCTATTTGCATTAATGGTATTTGAAAACTACTTAGCATTCTTAAAGTTCCTGCAAAATATCTATGGCCCAACATTTAAATTAAAATGAATTGCAAACAAATTTGCCTCTACCCAAATATTCCAAGCTCTTATCATGAAATAGTTAGTGCCCTTACACGCAAGGTAGCTGGTTTCATACTTTTCAAGTACCTAATGCCAAATGCCCATGGTTTATTATAATTTGAGCTTTATTTAGAAATAATTTGAGGTTCATTTCAAGTTGTGTAAAAATGTATTGTAATAAACATTAATGGATTAATACAATTTTTATTTACTTAAAAAAAATATGCAAAAATAATGATTTTTCATCTTAAGTCGTAATGAAAATGTGTTTTTAAGAATATATATGAGAATTGATACTTCTTGTATTAAATGTATTTTTTTTTTTTATCTTTTTCTATTAAACAAAAAACGTGATTTATTTTTTAAAAAGACATTAAACTTAAATTTCCTATTTTTCTGCGGAAAATGGAACCATTGCTTATGTAAAATTTTTTTTTATCTCTTGAGCTCTGCTATCATCCTTATAAATATTTCACTTCATAAGTAAAGTCCCATAAGTAGGACACCATGTTTATATATTCTAAATTGATTATTCAATTAGGAAGAAGTACTGCATGGAATAAACTTTATTATTAAAAAAAATGAAAATTGTGTTTGTTATTTTATTATAACCACTTTGGAAATTAATGTTTTAATAATTAGAGATTATTTTTAGGAGGATTTGACTCACCATCTAATTGTGTCATCTCTTGCTGGTCTTGACTATTATAATACCTATTTCCAAAACTTTTTACTCACCTGTACAGTATTATCATTCTTAGGTCTTGGAGCAATAGTGATAGCAGAAATTATGTATTCTTACAGTTCAGATGAAGTTATTGGTAAGTATTATGTTTAGTTGGTCAACTTTAGTAAAATTGTTAAATTTGTATCTTTTTGTAAATTTGTATTTCTGATATGCATTTGTGTTTTAGTACAAAATAAATTAATATTGTCCTATAATCTTCATACATAACTCTATTACATTAGTAAATACAAACAAACAAAATTAATCATCACTTATAGTTTCCTGCTCAATAATTTTACTGTAAAATAAATGTTCTTAACTACAGTCAAACTTGAATATTTTTAACATTTTTAATTTGAGATTGTGGATAATTTTATTATTATTATTATTTTTTCTCTAATCATTGTTTTTTTCTATTCAATGTAATATAAAAAAAAAGTCTGTGATTCAATTTTTACTATTCTACAATCTAATATTTCATCTTCATGAGATCACTACGTTATTAAACACTTTATTCAGAAATATTACAATTTGTCACAGTTTAAGGACACTTATAGAATAGAGTTCAGAGATTGCATTCATACCGTATATACAAAAATATAAATAAATAAAGTAATAACAAAAGAATAAGAAAAAAGAACAAAAGAGTAAAGAAAAAAAAAAAATATATACACATAAGTAAATAAAAATAGAAATAAAAGTAAAACAAACACCTTATATAAAACATACCTATATTCATGAGATAACTACAAACACACTTATTCCACATAATTGTAGCACCAATTTATTTATCATGGAGGAAAAAAAAAACTTTTAAGAGTTACATTCTTTATTAAGGGAACAGTCTCTTCAGTTTATATTTTTTGAGTTTCTAGAAGTAATTGTAAATCCAAGTATTTATTTAATTTTACCTGTACACCTTTATTTAAAATTTGTTGTGAATTCTAAAATAGCTTGGATAAATGTTGAAGTTTTGATTTTCTGAATTATTTTAGTACTATATTATTTCTCATACATATTAATACTCTTATCTCCCAAAAAGCAATTTAGTGGAAATCAGTGGACTTGATGTTCACAATAAGCATCTTTTATAGATATTAGTAAACATTTTTGTAATTTAGGAAATAAAAAAAAAAATTTCTAGGACTTTTTATGTGTTAATCATAGCTTTTTATGTGTTCTGGTGTTAATAATTTTTTTTTATGATCTATTACTAATAAGTTAATTGATTTTATTTAAAATTACTGCTATTCAAATAGTAGGAAGGAAACAGCATAGTGAAAACCGAGTGTTATTGAAGGTTGTCTTTTTATTGAATTACAATACCTATGACATACAGTCAGATCAGTAAGGAGTGGGGAGGCAGGATCACTGATAAGGAGTGCTGGAACAGTTGGACTTGTGATCAAAGTGTTCCATTCCTGATACAGCTTAATCGATGAAGAGGGCTGGAAGAGTTTGACCTGTGACTCAAGCTTTCCATTAAGCAGACCCTACATGATCAGTCATGAATGACAGTCACAAGACTTACTAGGATTGCTTCAATCATGGTGAACCCTACATGTATCAATCAGATAGACTCCATGTTAATCAAAAACCTCAGAGTGATCATTGATCAGAACCTCTCCTCGAACAACCGCATTCCTCAGATTACCCGTAAGTCTCTAACTATCCTTAAACAATTCCTTCGATTTCGTGATTCCATTCCAAAAAAAACCAGACGGCTCCCTGTAACATCCCTTGTCTTCCCCCACTTCAACTACGGTTACCTGGTGTATGGAGGGCTGTCCACAGAACTGGAGACGAGACTAAAGAAAATTATGAATTGCTTCATAAGATTCATATTTGGGGTTCCCAAGCATTCTCATATTTCTTGTTGGTACACCGAGTTGAAGTGGCTATATCCTACTTCCCGACGGCAATTCCTTCTTGGTGTTTTCTTTTTCAAGTTCTTAGAACCAAAAACCCTCCCTAAATCTTAGAACTCCTTACTTTATGCTCCTCTATCCACTCTCTCAATACCAGATCTCAACAAGTATATATAGATTTATATATTCCCTCCCATAAAACCTCTTCCTTCAGTATATCCTTCGTTATTCGTGCTACCTTCTTCTGGAACTTATCCATCTCCATAATAATAATACTTTATTTATTCTGGGACAATTCCCTCTAGAATAATACAGAAAGGCAGAAATGTGTGCTAAGCAGACTCAGAGATACATAAAAAAAATTACAGAATAATTAAATAGTCATAATAAAAAAAGAATTATAGATTACTTTCTAACTTAAATCAAGTTAATAATAAAAAATTAAAAAAAAAAACAACAACATAAAAACACGAAGTAAAAAAAAATTGAGAACAATATAAAAATTTATATACATATTTACAGTAGTAGATAGATAGATATTTTATTTGTTTTGGGGGGTTCCCCATACAAATAGAGCCTAGCTTGGCTATTGTACAATAATATGGTTTTACAAATTTACATACATATCATTTAAATATAAATAAAATATACAATATTTTACGTTTGGAATGGGTTTCACAAAACATGAATAACAATAAAAATTAAAAACATAAAACGATTACTGCATAATAATAGTTATATGAACCTGTTACTATGATAGAAACAATAAAAAATAAAAATATTTATAAATATAAACAAAATATTACTTTGAAGATAAACTAAAAACAAGCACTTGATAGAACATGGGCTATGATCAAAAATTTTGTGTATGCACTTTGTGTACTCCCATCATATTATAGTAAATTTTATTTAACTTATCTATACAATTGATATTCAATATGGATTCGATGTTGTAGTTATCAGAAGATTCTGAGATAAAGTTTTGAAGGAATTTTTGTCTGTAGACATTGTATGCTGGGCAGTGAAGGAGAATGTGATGTAGACTATTGTAGATAAATTGGCTGCATGATATACAGGTTTCCTGAGACTCAATCGAAAAAGTTCTGTTTTTTGCATAGATTCTGATATGTTCTGGGTTTGCAACTCTTAATTGACTAACTGATCTCAATTTCTTTATATGGACTTTGAATGTAAGGTACGTTTCGGGATCGGGAGCATTGTAACTGCATAGCATTCTGTATAAAGGGTAGTTAGTGGAGTTTAAAGTTTTTTGTATGTCAGCTGAGAAATAATAGTTGTGTGCTTTTTCAAGGATGTCGTATTTGTATGGAAGAAGTCCATTTGTGAGGTGAACAGAAAGCTCTTCTGCAAAGGCATTAAGCTCGGCTATTGCTCTAAATTGAGACACCCAATTGATATCTATGTCAGGCTTATCCTTGTCTAATGTTTTAAGTCTATTAAAACAAAGTTTTGGGAGTCGCTCTTCTGGCATGAACTCGAGCTTGGTCCATAGATTTATCATCTTTTTTTATCATTTTCATGCTTAATGGTTCTCTTCCTGTTCCGAGGCGGACTATGTAGTTTGGGGTATTTCTGGGCCAACTAAACATTATTTACAGTAGTATCTATAGTACTAACATTATTTACAATTTTATGGGGACTGGATGGATAAGAAATGATTGAACAGGCGGGATTTAAAGGTAGGAAGGGTATTAGATCAAGGGATGAGGGAAGGGATGGTGAGGAGGGGGGAGTTCCATAGGGATGAGGATCGGATAATAAACAATCTGTCGAAAGCAGTGGTTTGTTGGGTCCTTGTGTATAAATCTGAAGACCGGGAACGAGTACTGCATGAACGAACAGAGAATTTGAATGGAAGGAGCTCAGAGATGTATGAAGGACGGCGGGATCAGATGACTTGAAAGAGGAAGGATGCTAGGAAATACTTACGACGGTAGGAAGGATAAAGCCACTTTAACGCTGCATAAAAACGGGAAAACAGAGGCGTCTCTGGGATCCCGAAGATGAATCATATAAAGAAATTTATCAAACATTTTAGTTTCGCCTCGAGATCCCTAGAGACGCCCCAAGTTCCATATACCGTGCAGCAATAGTCAATGTGGGGAAATATTAAGGAAGTGACAAGCAGTCTACGAGTTTCAAGGGGAATCAAGGGCCCATATGTCAAACTACTTCCATAAACTCCTATTCCACGATTTACTACAAAATCAAACTTCCACAAGCTTATTAGAATTTCTGGATTATTTGCCAACGTTTCAGCACGAAGTTCAGGCCTGCTTGAGGGCTGAGAAAAGAACCAGATAACAGTTTTCCTCCATGGAAACAGTTTCCATTCTTGCCTTCGTCCCTCACCATGACAAACGACTCATCTCTGAAACCCTTCACATCCAGCTCCTACCTAACTTTTGTTTAATAATTCATAGTATTTATCTATAATATATCTTTCGTTCATTATATTCGTTTCCTGTGCTTTAGTTCGAATTTTTCAGTCAACCGTTAGAGATGGTGCAACAATACAGCTCCCCCCTCTCTTGCTACTATACCTCTATCTTTCCAAGCTTTTGGTCCGATCAGGTTTGTTTATATATCTTATCTTAGTTTTCTCCTTTCCCTCACTCTATTTTCCATATCTCCATCTCTATTTTGTATATATTTATACATTTGCTCATTAATTTATTTATTTTTTTATATTTTAATTTTTTATTCTCTTATACGTAGTCAGTATATTCTGATAAATTTTACAATATCTATTATTTCCTTTTATAACTTCATATTCCTTTCCTCTGTTTTACATTTTATTTTAAGATTACCATATTTAGTTCTTATGTTACCTCATTTTGATTATGTTTACTTCATTATTCCGCACTTTGTAGCCGTTATTATTATTTATTTCTTAGTTCTCAGTTATTGTTATTATTCTACCTACTTTATTTTACTTTACCATATCGTCCAGATTAGCCGAAAATAACTGCCCTTAAAAAAATCCTAGGATCCATGATTGTATTCCTATAAAAACCAGACAGCTCCTTGTAACTTCCCTTATATTCCCCCATTTCGACTACGCCTGTTTGGTGTGTGGAGGGCTATCTGCCAGGCTAGAAATGAGAGTGAAGAAACTCATGAACTGTTTCATAAGATACATCTTCGGGATCCCCAGGCGTTCACATGTTTCATTCTAGTACACTGAGTTGAAGTGGCTTTATCC